TTTGTCAATCCAGCATGACTTATGCCCTGCTCAAAACAACTGGAACCTCGGAACTGGGAAATCTGACTTCAGTGAGTTCAAGACAACTGGGAACTCGGAACAAAACTATCTCCGACTGGGAAAATACATTTTGAATGGTCATCCAACTCGGAATTGCAAGTCGGAAACACGGGCCTCTTTTTAGAGTTCCGACCTGAAGATCACTGACATCATCATGATTCTACCTGTTTTTTTTTTCATTGTTCCCAGTTATCTTGAAAGCACCATAAATCCAGAGAATGCCAGATTGATGACAAAGTTTGATGACAAAATTTGCCCATGAAGGACTGTCGCACCACCTTCCTGTTCAAGTGGGCACAGCACAACATGGTGAGTCCAAAAATGTATTGTATGCTGCTGCATAAATGATGTAATACAGTGGGGGAAAAAAGTATTTAGTCAGCCACCAATTGTGCAAGTTCTCCCACTTAAAAAGATGAGAGAGGCCTGTAATTTTCATCATAGGTACACGTCAACTATGACAGACAAAATGAGAAAAAAAATCCAGAAAATCACATTGTAGGATTTTTTATGAAATTATTTGCAAAGTATGGTGGAAAATAAGTATTTGGTCACCTACAAACAAGCAAGATTTCTGGCTCTCACAGACCTGTAACTTCTTCTTTAAGAGGCTCCTCTGTCCTCCACTCATTACCTGTATTAATGGCACCTGTTTGAACTTGTTATCAGTATAAAAGACACTATTCATAGCAGACTTCGAAAATGCATTTGATAAAGTTCGACTGGGGTTTATATATAAATGCCTGGAGCATTTCAATTTTGGAGAATCTCTTATAAAATGGGTCAAAATCATGTATAGTAACCCTATGTGTAAAATAGTAAATAATGGCTATTTCTCCGAAAGTTTTAAACTGTCAAGAGGAGTGAAACAAGGTTGTCCACTATCGGCATATCTATTTATTGTGGCCATCGAGATGTTAGCTATTAAAATCAGATCCAATAATAATATCAGAGGATTAGAAATACAGGGCTTAAAAACAAAGGTGTCATTGTACGCTGATGATTCATGTTTTCTTTTAAATCCACAACTAGAATCCCTCCACAGCCTCATAGAGGATATAGATACATTTTCTAACCTCTCTGGATTACAACCAAATTATGACAAATGTACTATATTACGTATTGGATCACTAAAAAATACAATTTTTACATTACCATGTAGTTTACCAATAAATGGTCTGATGGTGATGTGGATATACTCGGAATACATATCCCAAAGGAAATAAATGATCTCACTTCAATAAATTTTTATAGAAAGTTAGCAAAAATAGATAAGATCTTACTACCATGGAAAGGAAAATACCTGTCAATTTGTGGAAAAATCACCCTGATTAACTCTTTAGTATTATCCCAGTTTACCTATTTGCTTATGGTCTTGCCTACGCCTAGCGAACAGTTTTTTTAAATTATATGAGAAAAAAATATTAAATTTTATTTGGAACGGCAAGCCAGACAAAATTAAAAGAGCATATTTATATAATGAATATGAATTCGGAGGACATAAATTATTAAATATTAAAGCATTAGACCTATCACTAAAAGCTTCAGTCATACAAAAGTTATACTTAAATCCGAACTGGTTCTCAAGCAAATTAGTAAGATTGTCTCACCCAATGTTCAAGAAAGGCCTTTTTCCCTTTATTCAGATTACAACCTCTCACTTTCAGTTATTTTAAAAGGAAATAATCTCCCAAATGTCACTATTTCTAAAACAAGCCATAGAAAGTTGGTTGCAATTTCAATTTAATCCTCCAGAAACGACAGAACAAATAATGCAACAAATATTGTGGTTAAATTCAAATATACTAATTGACAAAAAACCTTTCTTTTTTGACAGAATGTTTAAAAAAGGTATAATCTTCGTAAATTATATCATCGGTAGGACTGGTGGAGTTATGTCGCACATGCAGCTGACAAAAACATATGGAAATGTCTGCTCTACCCAAAATTACAACCAAATAATTGCAGCCTTACCGCAAAAGTGGAAGAGGAAAGTGGAAGGGGGAGAAAGTAAGGAACTTGTCTGTCGGCCTTGCATTAAAGAACATAATTGGTTAAGGAAAACTGTGATAAATAAAAAAGTATATCAGTTTCACTTAAGGACCAAAGGATTGACAGCCGTCCCATATAGATTGCAAAATAGTTGGGAAAAGATCTTTGACGTACCGATCCCATGGCATAGTGTTTATGAACTGACACGCAAAACGACACCGGATTCAAAAATTAGAATCTTTCAATTTAAATTATTATATAAAATTCTTGCTACCAATAGAATGTTATTTATATGGGGGATACAATCTTCCCAGCTCTGCAGATTTTGCTGTGAAGAGACAGAATCATTAGATCATTTGTTTTGGTTCTGTCCATTTGTAGCTTGTTTTTGGACACAGGTCCAGGAATGGCTAAAGGATTGCAATATTTACCTGGAACTAACCTTGCAGATAGCATTACTGGGTGATCTGAAAAGTCATAGTCAATCAATCAATAATATAATAATACTTTTAGCAAAAATGTTTATTTTTAATTCACAATCTGTAGAAGCAATGAGAATAGAAAGGTTCAGAACTTTTGTAAAACATCACAATACGGTTGAAATATATATGGCAAATAGAAATCCTATATGGATGGTGTTAAGAGATAGATGGGAGGTATTGAATAGAGTTGAAGGATGGGACTAATAACAAATAACAACAAATAATAACAAAGATAGCTAATGATGTAAGCATACTGTGTCCATAATAAGTATATAGGTTGTATGTTGGGAGCTTTTGGGAAAGAGCACAGTTAGAAAGATATGGCATATAGAAGCAAACCGGATGGACATCATGAAAATGATCGGAGAGGTTGAGAGTAGAAGAAGTTCAGGAGCAATAAAAAAAAAAAAAATATATATATATATATATATATATATAATAGAATTATTGTAAAATGAACTCTGTCCATAAGGTGTAGATAGTAAGTATAGACCGGAAGTAGAGGCCTGGGCATTGTTGTTCACTAATTTACTCCAAGTAGGGAAAGGATGGTGGGGTTGAAAGGTAATAAAGGGGAGTATATATATAACAAAAAACAAAAAAAACATGGGGGATTGGAAGTGATGCAGACAATTACATTGATAGAAGATACAATCTATCTGCAATATTAAGCTGATCCATTCCCCCAGAAAAAAAAAAAAAAAAAAAAAGGCTAAAATAAAAAAAAATGAAATCAAAAATATATAATAAAAATATACAAAAAAAATATTATATATATTTTTTTGAACGGACCATGTTCTAAATTCTGTTGCTGTACATTTCAAAAGTGCTGAACAAATACTTATTTTGACTACGTCCGTCTTAGCTCGCTCATTAATGTCTTAATCGAAATTACGGATTGGCTCTTATCTGCTCGTCGTACCCATATGCCATAGTTCGTACATCTCAATTGTCAGTAGAAACCACATTTGTTTAAGCAAGTCAGCCATATCAGTTATGTTTTTTTAAAGGAAGTAAAAGGGGCTGAATGAACTGTTTAGCTGCCAGACAAGGCTCTGTTGATAGCCAGGTGTACCAGTGGTAAGGTGTTGGGACTGCTGCTGGGACTCTGCTGTTGGGTCAGCTTTATGTAGGCCCAAACAGTTTGTGGGCACCGTTTGTCACCGTTGTAGCGCAAGAAATGTATTGTTTAGTGGTGTGTTGTGTAGTGGCATTGTGGCATGCATCTAAAACATTTTTGTTTTAGTTTACCCCACCAAGATTTACATGCTAAAATCGCCACTACTTACATGTTCTATTTCTGAGCTGCTTTTGAAAGCAAAAGACAAATTGAAAACAGTATTGGCATTGTTGAATTCGATTTTCATTATGTCAAACTAATTAGGACAGATGGTTTGGTTACCACGGCAACTACTGTACCTCTCTAGTAAACTTGCTAGCTACTTCAGAGGATGTTGAACACATTTCTAGCGGCAAATGTGTTAAAGTATAGCCATGGTATAAAAGGGTAATCAACTCGGGAAGGTCAGTTCTTCCCCGCTAGCTGGTCTTGGAACCTACCTTCCACGTCGTTCATTATTTTCCATAGAATGCATAGCCCCTCGTTGATTATCCCTTACATAACTTAATGTTTTTTAGGTTCGCCTGGTTTATACACAAGATACAGTGAGGTATGCAGCACACAACACACCAGGGACTATATTTAGAACACATTACTCTTATAGTGGATATGTCTGTTGTATGCGACATATTTCTATACCAAATCAGCTAGGTTTGATGACACAAGGAAATAGCGAGTCAACACGCGTCTTTTTAAGCTTCTAATGAATGTATAATGTACTTTCTGTAAATGACGTATGGTAGAGAAATCAACATTCAATTATCTGGCAACAGATCTGGTGGACATTCCTGCAGTCAGCATGCCAATTGCATGCTCCCTCAAAACTTCAGACATCTGTGGCATTGTGTTGTGTGACAAAAACTGCACATTTTAAAGTGGCCTTTTATTGGCCCCAGCAGAAGGTGCAACTGTGTAATGATCATGCTGTTTAATCAGCTCCTTGATATGCCACACCTGTCAGGTGGATGGGTTATCTTGGTAAAGAAGAAATGCTCACTAATAGGGATGTAAACAAATTAGTGCAAAAAAATGGAGAGAAATAAGTTATGGAACATTTCTGGGATTTTTTATTTCAGCTCATGGGACCAACACTTTACATGTTGCGTTTATTTTTTTGTTCTGTGTAGTTAGCTAGCACATGGTGTTCCTCCATCCTCCCACCTGATGTGCTAGCGGTAGGCGGGGGTGACACCGTTAGACAGTCAGGCACGGTTTTTCCGGCACACAGGAGGCAGGGTCGACACTCATGTACTAGCTAACTAGCAAGCTAGCACACGGTGTCGCTAACAAGCTAACTAGTTAGCTAGCACATGGTGTCGCTAACAAGCTAACTAGTTAGCTAGCACATGGTGTCGCCCCCGCCTCGTGTGTGTGCCGGAGAAAACTGTGCCTGACCGTCTGAAGGTGTCACAGCAGGTGACCGGTATACAGTGTCCTTCACCACTGCCTGTCGGGCACTGTTTTCCTGTAGTTCTGTTAACATTCAGGCAGGATCCAATGGGATGCTCGGGGGTGGGGGGTGGGTGTTCATGAAGGAACCAATGGGATGCTCAAGGGGGGGTTCCAACATGCAGGAACGCCCCGAATTGCGGGCTGCAGTTCCACACTATTAAATCCCTTTGCCATTCATAAATAATGCAATGTGGATGGTATCACATCGGGATTTCCTAGGTTTCCTTTCCAGGGCATGCCATCATTATTCACGATTCATTCGGGCTATCCATAATCATGGTAGCATCCACATTAATGTAGAAGTGTTTAGAAACATAATCTTATTTAGAATAAAAGTGACTCCAAAATGACACAATATATTATTTAACATTCATTTCTATTGGGCACAAAATAATCTGAAACACAACCAAAACAAAACAGAAAATGCATCCAATAAGTTTGTAGAGTCACAAGCTTGATGTAATCATTGCGTGCTAGGAATATGGGACCAAATACTCAACTTTTGACTACTTTAATACACGTAAGTGGATTTGTCCCAATACTTTGGTCCCCTAAAATGGGGGGACTATGTACAAAAATGCTGTAATTTTTTTACGATATCATTTCAAATCTAAAGTGGTGGAGTACAGAGCCAAAACAAAAAAATATATGTCACTGTCCAAATACTTTTGGAGCTCACTGTATTCCTCTTTGTAATGTATAGGGAGAATGATGTGGCTGCCATCGATGTGAACATGGGCTGTCCTAAGGAATACTCTACTGAGGTTAGCTATGAGTGACAGTCAGCAGCCAACAAACAGTCAATAATGAATGTTCAGTCAGTTCACACCTAATATAACGTTCACACTGAGGTGCCTGTCTGCTGACCCCTCACTTCTCTGTATCTCCTGCAGGGTGGGATGGAAGATGCTGTCCTCTCAGACCCAGAGTACTGAGTAGCCTCTCTCTTCTCCCCCACAAATGATCAGTAAGATCAAATTGCAGAAATACTTGAATAGAGGACTGGTGACCAAAAAATTGTTTCCCCCTCCATTCATCTGTCTCTTTTCTAGATTCTAAAAACACTTGTGAAAGGAGTGTCCAAACCAGCGACGTGTAAAATCAGAATCCTGCCCACAGTAAGTTTCAAAACGTCAATGCCTTTTCTTCAGCAATAAGATAGATGGGATGTGACATTTGATCCAAATTCATCAAACTTCTTAAATATTACATCCGGCTTTAAAATTGTGCTTGTGAGTCAGGCTGACGTTTCTGTTTAGCTGGAAGATATTCTTAGTCTTGTCAAGAGAATTGAGAAGACCGGTGAGGCTGCTATTGCTGTCCATGGCAGGTAAAGTCCTGTTCTTGTCATGCCCATTGTTATGTTGCATTAATGTGTATCTGATTTTAGATGCTTGATTTTGTGTATATAATCATGTATACACTCCCCTGTGTATTTATTTGGACAGTGAAGCTAAAATGTTTAATTTGGCTCTATACAGAGGGGTTGGGTTAAATGCATAAGACACATTTCAGTTGAATGCATTCAGTTGTACAACTGACTAGGTATCCCCCTTATACTCAAGCATTTTGGATTTGAAATCAAATGTTTTATATGAGGGACAATACAGAATGTCACCTTTTATTTGAGGGTATTTTCATACATATCTGTTTTACTATTCAGAAATGAATGCATCAATGAATGCATCCTGTTAATGATGAGTGAGAAGGTTACAGATACACAAAGATCATGCCCCCAAAACATGGGGTGGGTATGATATTTATGCCTCTAACTTTCTCACTTATCATTATTCACGATTCATTCATGATTAGTCATCATCATGGTAGCATCCACATTAATGTAGAAGTGTTCAGAAACATATTATATTCTTATTTACAATACCATTGATTTCTATTGGGCACAACGTAATCCGAAATACACAACCAAAACAAACTGCAAATGCATCCAACAAGTTTGCAGAGTCACAAGCTTGATGTAGTCATTGCGTGCTAGGAATATGGGACAGAATGCTACATTTCTGACGAAATGTAATAAACTAAGTGAATTTGTCCAAATACTTATCACACCTTCAAATGGGATGACTAGATACATAAAGTGCTTTCATTTCTAAACGGTCAAACGGATATGTATGTAAATACCCTCAAATAAAAGGTGACTTTCATATAAAATGTTGGAGTAAGAGACAAATTAAAGGTTTTAGCTTCACTGTCCAAATAAATACGTAGGGGAGTGTATATCTTCATATTTATAGTTACCTAACCTTTTTTATACCATATTGGCTTTTCTTTCTCAGGTTAAAAGATGAAAGACCAAGACATCCTGTTCCCTGTGACTTAATCCAGGCTGTAGCTGAGGCCGTGTCCATTCCTGTCATCGCTAAGTGAGTCTCTCTGTCTCTCTCAAGGTGTTGTGAACACAGAGATAAATCAGTGATTCATCTCTATGGTTGTGACTGACTGTCCTTGCTCTTGACACTGATCTCTTTTAGTGGTCCCTCTCTCTTTTTTGCATGCACATTGCGTTTGTATGCAACAAAATGAATTTCCTCATTGAGGATATAAAAGTTTTTGAATCTAATCCGTAGCCAATTAGACTCATACCAGTATACGGGTTGAAAATGGCAGATTTGGACACTGATAAGTGCCTAAATTGGAGGCAGTGGCTGTACAGTAACATGCTATACATGAGGTTAGAGCTCAGGTTCTCCATTTCACAGCTCTGTATGGGTTTTGACTGACAGCCGTTATGAACATGAGCACCGCGCTCGACAAGAAGTTACCTCCATCCCTCCCGCTAATTGGGCAACTTCTACAAATGTTTTGTTGTCAGAGTGAGGGAAATGCTGTAAATGAAGAGGACTCTATGTATTTTGAAATATGAGACGTTGAGGATTATAATAAATACTGCTTTGATGTCATACAAACAAGCCCAACCCCCCTGAGTCCATTTCCATATCATAAAACTCATGTCAGGTACAGTGTCAACGTTTATGATCACTATGTTTTATGTACAGTTACATGGTGTTAAACCCTGGGTTGTCCTGAAAAGAATGAGCCTACAGTATGTTTGTTTTCTTGTGAAGAAAATGTTCCAAGGACCACGCATCTGAACACACTCATGACTCCATTCTATGCGCTCAGAAATTACGATCTGCTTCTCTGAATTGCCTTGTGAAAGCCTAACAGTGTAAAATCATATTTTATAATTTAGCTAGTTATGTTGACAATAGAACAAGCTTTCAAATTACGGCCACCTGACCCAGATTGCGATTTATAATGGACCGATTTTAGATTTGTTAACAACAGTAATTGTGTAAAGGCGGATGCAGGGCTGTGTTCCAAACAAAACAACTAGTGTGCTTGCTCTAGTTCCTCAACGGCACAGCTAGGAGAGCAAAAAAGGCACCTTATAGTTATAAAAGTGCATTGAAATTACTTAGCGACTGTGCAAACTTTGGATAGGTAGGTGTTTTGCCACTTGGAAACACCAGTTCGACCTCTCACTGAAACCATTGTAATTTGTTTGTCTTATGTTGCACCCTACCCCACATTTTCCAGGAATATTCTGATCGTATTACTGAATGTATCCAGAGTATTTAAAGATTTCGTTATCAACAAATGCGGTAAATGTAAAATGCTCATAAAATCAACAGTGTAATGTTTCGATTCAGTCTTGTGAACAGAGTCAGGTGAACTGTTGTGTCCTCACCTTTAGTCTAAAACATTTCCCATAATCTCCAAACTGTTCCCTTTGAATTGCTACCATGGTTATGCATATGCTTTCAATTTTGCCCTATCCATAAATGCCAATTCCCATGAATGTAAGGGGTTAACTGCTTGTGCTCTCCTCCATTGTCTTGTGTAGCGGAGGTTCTCTGGACCGGGTCAAAGCACACGCTGACATCGAGGAGTTCCGGAAGGCCAACGGGCGTCCTCGTTGATGGTTGCCAGGGCGGCTATGTGGAAACCCTCAGTGTTCCGCAGTCAGGGACTGCTGTCTGTGGAGGAGGTCATGGAGGAGTACCTCAAATACGTGAGTCCACCGCCCTCTGTCCACCTTACCTCACTCTACAGGAGCCTTACTGTGTTAAAACGGGAAACTTAACTATCACTGTCATATTATTATTATTATTATTATTATATTATTAATTATTATTATATTGTGGATAGCGCTGTCGCGGTGAACGTATTACCTCCACACCGGCAGTCACGAGTCATGACCACAGTCAAATTCCCTGTGACAGTTGGTCACTGTAATCCCATCCAAAACTGTGCAAATGAATAGAGCTGATGGGTAGCCTACCAAACTTGTTAACGCCCCTCGCTAACGGCCTGGTACTCAGCGCTCTATTGTCCCGCTAATCACTCCCTAAACACTTCATGATTTTTATTTTGTATTTTATTTAACCTTCATTTAACTAGGCAAGTCAGTTAAGAACAAATTCTTATTTACAATGACGGCCTACACCGGCCAAACCTACCGCCCTATGGGACTCCCAATCACGGCCGGTTGTGATACAGCCTGGAATCGAACCAGGGGGTCTGTAGTGACACCTCAAGCACTGAGATGCAGTGCCTTAGACCACTGCGCCACTCGGGAGCATAAGGGGATGGGTCTGGTTGTCCTTTGAATAATCTGAATGATGAATGATGAAGACAAATGGTGATGGGAGTTAGAGGTCTGTTCCGAAATGGATACGGGAAAGCCCCGGACCAGATATGCATACATTCATTTTTAAAACCCGTTCCGAAAGGACCTAAAGGACAACCAGACCCATCCCCTTATGCACCCGGTCCGATCAGAGTGAGGGATGCAGCACAAAAGCCAATTGGTATGCTACTTTATTAAACCAGAGCCATGGAGAAAAGGGAGAGAGAGAGAGGCACAGAGTGAGCAGCTGTAGGCTATAGGGAGCGGAGGCCATGCAGGGTGTGTGTGAGGCTTGGAACACCAGAGCAGGCACTAAGAGAGAGACAGCAGGCACTGAGAGAGACCGCAACCGCTGTTAACTCGCGCTAGACTAACTTCTTGCTAGTTATTTATCATCCCATCTGATTACATAGTACCTGTCTTGACTGCATCAACCCGAGAGAAGCTAGCTAACTAGGCTAATTGAGGCTAGGCATAAAGTTACTGCGCTTCTCACCATTCTAAAGTCAGCCTACACATAACTACATTCAGATCATAGCCTAAATAGCCTTCCACGCATCAGGAGCTTGTATGCGTGGAAGCCTTGAGATGCTAAACATGTTTATGTTAATTAACGGTCAATTACCGTGAGACCGGCAGTCATTTGCATGACAATTACCGGCTGACAAAATTTCATGACCGCCCTAATTGTGGATTGACAAATTGTGGTATGACATATGAAAATTGCATAGGTAATCCAATATTTTTCTTTTGATCCGATAATTACTTAATCACAAAATACAGAGGGCTTAAATCAGAGATGACTTGCTATATACCAACTTTACCAAGCAAATTATAAATTGTGTGATGTTAGAAGCATATTAAGAAATGTTTGTGCTTTTTGTATTTGTAGGCCATCCGCTATGACAACCATGCCTTCAACACCAAGTACTGCCTGTGTCAGATGCTGAGGGAGGTGGAGTCTCCACTGGGGAAGCAACTAAAGTCTGCCCAAACCAACGAAGAGATCTGGCACACCACGTCTTTTGAATCATGATGTCAGAGAAAACTTGAACTGTGAATTCCAGTATTCCAGTTCATTTCCTAGTAAATGTAGTTCTATTTAATATATTATTCTTATTAGTGAACCTTTTTTGGTAAAAGGTACTCAAACATTGTAGTATTGGTATGGTACTCAAGTTTGATATTTGGGTATTTAACTCTACACCTATGTTTTCCAGTGACGGCTATGGGCTGCAGGAATACTACAAGAAGACCCAGGCAGAACTACAAGCCAGAAAGGAAGCCATCCAAACCAACCCCAAACCACCACAATCACCCGAACCACCCTGTCCTAGATGGTGATGTCACCACAATGCGTGTGAAATTTGAAAGGTTTGTCCTAAATTCATTTACAGTGCAACTGCTTTTCCTAATCTCTCTTTTTGGGGATGCCGGTTGTCACTTGGGGGACATTCAGACCAGTTTGTAAACATTTGTTTAGGTTCCATAGGATTTCAATTACTTTCTGACTGCACCCCTTTTTATTTTAACAAAACATTTCATAGATCTTTTCCCATGGTGGAAGTGGTCAGAAAGTAACTATTCAGGAGATGGAGGTGCTCAAAGTTGACCCATTTTGCATACCATAAGAATATAAACGGTTGAGTTCGATATCATTTGTAAGCTTACAAACAGGGTTGTCAAACTATTCTTCGATTTCTTGATAAAAGCTCTAACGTCAATTACAGTGAGCTCCAAAAGTATTGGGACAGTGACTATTTTGTTGTTGTTGTTGAAATTATACAATTGCTATGAGGTTTAATTTGAGGATATTTTAATTCATATCGGGTGAACCGTTTAGAAATTACAGCACTTTATGTACATAGTCCTCCCATTTTAGAGGACCAAAAGTGTTGGATTTCAAATTCACTTCTGTGTATTAAAGTAGTAAAAAGTTAAGTATTTGGTCCCATATTCATAGCATCAAGCTTGTGACTACACATTTGTTGGATGCATTTGTTGTTTGTTTTGGTTGTGTTTCAGATTATTTTGTGTCCAATAGAAATTAATGTTAAATAATGTGTTGTGTCGTTTTGGAATCACTTTTATTGTAAATAAGAAAAGAATATGTTTCTAAACACTTCTACATTAATGTGGATACTACCATGATTACGGATATTCCTGAATGAATCATGAATAATGATGAGTGAGAAAGTTACAGATGCACAAACGTATGGAAGGTTTCATTCAAATCAAAAGGGGTACAGTCAGAAAGTGATTGAAATCATATGGAACGACCCTACTGTACAGTAGTGGGCAACATACGGCCCTTGGGCCGGATCCGGCCCGTGAGCCCATTGAATTCGGCCCAGGGGAGGTTTGAGTTTTTTATTTGTCACATGCTTCATAAAAAACTGGTGTAGACTAACAGAGAAATGCTTACTTACGGGCCCTTCCCAACAATGCAGAGAGAAAAATAATACAAAAATAATAATACATGGAATAAATACACCATGAGTAACGATAACTTGGCTATATACATGGGGTACCAGTACCAAGTCGATGTGCAGGGGTACGAGGTAGTTGAGGTAGCTATGTACATATAGGTAGGGGTAAAGTGACTAGGCAACAGGATAGATAATAAACAGTAGCAGCAGCGTATGTGATGAGTCAAAAGAGTTAGTGCAAAAAGTGTCAATCCAGGTAGTCCGGGTTAACTATTTAGCTGTTTTATGGCTTAGGGGTAGAAGCTGTTCAGGGTTCTGTTGGTTCCAGACATGGTACATCAGTTTTGCTTGCTGTGCGGTAGCAGAGAGAACAGTCTATGACTTGGATGGCTGGAATCTTTGACCATTTTTAGGGCCTTCCTCTGACACCGCCTGGTATAGAGGTCCTGGATGGCAGGGAGCTTGGCCCCAGTGACGTACTGGGCCATACGCGCTACCCTCTGTAGCGCCTTGCGGTCAGATGCCAAGCAGTTGCCATACCAAGCGGTGATGCAGCCAGTCAAGATGCTCTCAATGGTGCAGCTGTAGAAGTTTTTGAGGATCTTTTAAAGGTTATCGAGATCACAATTGTCCAGAACAGCTGGTGCTCTCATGCATGGTTCAGTGTTGCTTGCCTCGAAGTGAGCATAGAAGGAATTTAGCTCTAGCTCGTCTGGTAGGTTCGTGTCACTGAGCAGGTCACGGCTGGGTTTCCCTTTATAATCCGTGATAGTTTGCAAGCCCTGACAAATCCGACGAGCGTCAGAGCCGGCGTAGTAGGATTTGTTCTTAGTCTGTATTGACACGTTGCCTGTTTGATGGCTCGTCGGAGGTCATAGCGGGATTTCTTATAAGCATCCGGATTAGTGTCCCACTCCTTGAAAGCAGCAGCTCTAGCCTTTAGCTCAGTGCAGATTAAAGCCCTGCACGGGCATTCATTTTAAACCCAAGCCCTATCCATGCCTGCGACGTTCAGGCCCTACCCTACCCAGGCCCGATTGCTTCTGAGACATGTAAGGCTCGGCCCTGACCGAAACCCGAAATAACTTCCTCCGTTAGTAAATCCATTATTTGCTCCTCAATGTCTGTCACTAGTGCCCTGCATGCACTCTGCTCATGGCGGTTCTGAGCCTGTGTAACCATAGCAACGGCTCCGCTTGGGTTGCTCTGCTCAATGAAAAGACATGAGAGCAGTTAGCTGTTAGCTACTATTCGTCACTCTAAACTCCGACAAAACTCCAACATTTATTTTCTGTGAAATAATGGTTGAAGCACTTATGACACCATGTTATGGTGTTAGATATGACTGTATTGCGCAGCAGAGCACGAGCAAATGGCTCAGCTTCAAAATGTTAATGATCAATTTAGTGATACCCCAGACCCTAGTTATTGATGAAGAAAATGTTGGGGCTCGTCGTGCTCGGGTCTGGTAGCACAAGTGCGGCTGTTGCCTGTAATCCATGGCTTCTGGTTGGGATATGTACATACGATCACTGTGGGGACGCCATCGTCGATGCATTTATTAATGAAGCCGGTGACTGATTTGGTAAACTCCTCATTGTTATCGGATGAATCCCAGTCTGTGCTAGCGAAACATTCCTGTAGATTAGCATCCGCTTCACCGGACCACTTATGTATTGAGCGTGTCACTGGTACTTCCTGTTTGAGTTTTTTGCAGGCCGCTCTTGAACATCTAAAGCTAGATAGAAAATATGTAGAAATTATAATGGACCTATACGTTTTCAAATAACTAACCTTTTTCTGGCCCGCAAATAGCTTTTGAAGAACAAATCAGTCCCCCAAAAATCTGTGCAGCCCTCCGCTGAATTTTGAAATCCCGATGTGGCCCTCGAGTCTAAATAATTGCCCACCCCTGCTATAGTAAGTCCCTAATTAAGTCACCAGTTAGTATCTACGTAGGCAGTTATTTCCTGTAATATATTACTGTTATGACTGTAAATATTACATATTGTACATTATGATTGTACATATTATTATGACTGTACATATTATGAACAGTAGTGTGATGTTTGTGTGTTAGGAGGGAGTACCCTGGCGAGTTTAGCCCTAAGATGTTTCTGTTAGAGTGGAGCCGCAAGAAGAAACTGGAGCAACCACGATATCAGACGGTAAACTGACCACTTTATATTAGCCATGGGCTTACAACATACAAGTTGTCAAAACCAGAGCGCATTTCTAACAAAATGTATTGTGTATGATGTTTTCAGGTACAGCGCTCTCAAGACCAGGCGTTCCAAACCATAGAAACGATGACGGGGAAAAAGTACAGATCGTCTCTGTGGTGAGTTTATACAGTGCCTTCATAAAGTATTCATACCCCTTGACTTATTCCACATTGTGTTGTGTTACAGCCTGAATTAAAAATTGATTAAATATATATATATATTTTTTTTATTACCCATCTACACACAATACCCTATAATGACAAAGTGAAAACATGTTTTTAGAAAATGTATTGAAAATATATTTGGAATGTCAGCATGGTGGTGGCAGCATGGTGTTGGCAGCATCATGCTATGGGGATGCTTCTCAGCGGCAGGGACTGGGAGACTGGTAAAGATTGAGGGAACAATGAATAGAGACAAATACAGGCAAATCCTTGATGCCTTGGAGTGAAAACGATCTTAGGCTTGCGGCGAAGATTTACATTCCAACAGGACAATGACCCCAAGCATACAGCCAAAGCAGTGCTGGAATGGCTTCAGAACAAGAATGTGAAAGTCCTTGAGTGGCCCACCCAAAGCCCAGAATTGAATCCCATTGAAAATCTGTGGAAAGACTTGAAGATTGCTGTTCACCACTGCTCCCCAACTAAATTAACAGTGCTTGAGAAAATCTGCAAGGAAGAATGAGGGGAAATCTCCAAATGCAGATGTGCAAAGCTGATACAGACATACCCAAGACGACTCAAAGCTGTAATCGCCGCCAAAGTGCTTCTACAGAGTATTGACTCAGGGGTTTGAATACTTATGTACATGAGATTTTGGTTTCGTATTCAATTAATTTGCACACATTTCTAAAAACATGTTTTCACTTTGTCATTATGGGGTATTGTGTGTAGATGGGTGAGAAAAAATATTTGTAATCAATTTTGAATTCAGGCTGTAACAACAAAATGTGGAATAAGTCAAAGGGTATGCATACTTTCCGAAGGCACTGTAATGAATGTGTTAGTCACCCAGGGAGTGACCAAGTTAAACCCTGTGAATGTAATGCTTGATAACAATGTTATAATAATGCTTGATAGCAGTGTTATTAACTCATAATAATGCAAAATGACTGTATTAACACAACACTTTCTCTTTTATATCCATGCAGGGAGAAGTCAAAGAAATATGCAGAACAGGCTGCTGCTATAGTATGTCTATGTGTTCTGGGACTGCCAGAGGGGCGGACAGGGGAAGAGTACTCTGGGTCGGGGGGCAAGAGGAAAGAGGGAGGAGAAGAGGAACGAGACGCCAGATGAGGAGGACACCGCTGTAGAGTCTGCAGCCAGGAAAAGACACCTGTCTAAAAATCCAAAGGAGCAACAGGTAGCTGCGGAAGGCAACCGGGCACCAGCTATTCCAAATGGTGTACAGCACAAGACAAGCACAGAGTGATACTGCACTGTGTAAAATGACTAATGCTTTACGACCGAAATAAGACTGTATGCACCATTTATATTAAATGGTGGCGGATTTGCAGCAGGGGTCAGCTCTTACCATGGGGAGTGATTGATACAGTAGCGGCCATATTGTTGTGAGTTTGAGACATTGCAACAAGAGCAGCGTACAGTGAGTAACTGAGATATTCTGTCAGCTCCCGCCCCAATAGTCAAACATACATCAATCAGCATGAAGCGTCCGATGCTATTTATTTTCTCTCCTGGATTATTTTGTTTACAGACAACAAGCCTGTTTGGTGTTTGTGTAAAGAAAACATACTCTGCAGGCGATTAAGAAACGGCCCTATTCTATTTTTTTTTTTGATAAACGAAACTGGTAATTGAATTAGTTTATGAAAAAACAGGTCAAATGTGTAACAAGACAGTATGGCAGTCTACTTGAAATCACACATTCTCCTTACGCTTGCAATACTGAATGTTTTCTACTGTAAAGTCACGATAGAAAACCACTTATCAACTTTCAGCACCACATCATCTTGACCAGAAGCAAGGTAATTATTTATTGTATTTATTATTATTGACAGGAGTGTATGTACAGTGTAATGATAGCTGCCAGAGGAGGGCAGTACAGGAGCTGTATAAAGCTAGTTAATTTTCTCAGACAGTATTTATTGTACCATTGTCTTCTATGGGGCCTTACAAAATTGGGAAAATGTACTTTTTTTGCTGTTGTTTTCATCCTGATAGATTGGTTGTTGCTCTATCACTGTTAAACTACAAACATGTATGTGTTGATTGTAGTATGAGTGGTATGTGTGTGTCTGCTGTTGGATCACGGATGGTTTCTTTGTTTTTAAACTGTTTGATTCTAATGAGATATGTATTCGTATCGTTGATTGAGTGCAGTCTCCAGAAATACATTAATTGCCTTGCCAGGTGATTTGATACTCTAAAATGTTCTAGTAGCGTGTAGGCCTACAGTACTCTCTCACCAGCTACTGTACACGGGGTGATGCCGGGTATAGTATTTTGCTGACGTCATGAACCGAGCTGTCTTTAATGCTTTGTTTGTAATGTGGAAGTTTAGAGTAGACTGCTAGCCTACTTCATAAGTCATCGAGAGTACCTACAGTCAAACTATTGTCTATGCTTCTTCTTTAGTCCCAGAACTGAACTGGTGAAGTATCAAGATAATATAATATAATCGTAATAAATGTCGCCTGGAGGGGACACGCATTTAGGAATCGCTTTAGTTATTTACAACTTCGGATAGGCTTCTTGTTGCTGTTTATAGTGTGAACTAAAATTATTCACTCCTGTTGTATCGTTAACCTTTTGAATTCAGTTTTGAAACAACCCAGGAATAAAGAACGTTAAAGAACCGACCTGTAAGACCGAATGACTACTGTAAATTGTAGCGGCAATGAGGAACTGGACTTCAGACTTATTTTCGGGGAGGACGCGCAACAACAGCTAGGCCCCACAGGTGAGTTCTTATTTATTTTTTTACAATATATCCGCTGTATTCCACAAAGCCTTAATAGAATATTACAAAGTTACCCATTTGGTGTTCATTTACTGTTTGTTTCGCCTTGGCTAGATTGCGGTATCTGGTCATCGAGCAGAACCACGACTGTAGGCTACGGTCATTGACATATGTGTCGGCTACTGTAGCCCTGTACATAACCTAGGCTATCAATTGAGTAGCCTAATAAGCCTAGAGTAGCCTACAGATGAAGTTGAATAAGCATTAACTTTTTATATCTTTAAATGTTAGGCTTAAGTTCTAACATAAAATACCACACTAGTGTTTTATTATTGTACTGTAATCAATGTGCATAATAACCAGTGGCGATTTTAGCATGTAAATCTTGGTTGGGCAAACCCCACCAAAATAACTATTTGTTCAGCACTTTTGAAATGTATGGCGACAGAATTCAGAACATGGTCCGTTCTTACAGTATTCTCCCTGTACACCAAGTCAAAACCGTAGGATAAACAGGGTGTATATAAGCAGACAATGAAAGCTCTTACAATATTCGATGATGACGTTTCTCTAAAACCGGCTATAGGCTACATGTGCACCACAAAGTCAGAACAGTAGGCTAACTTATGAGGTGAAAAGGGGAGCAAATTATTAGGGTGAGGCACATGGGCTACTAACAGCTTACACAACATACACTTAGTAATACTTTATTAGCTACAGTATACATATCTCCCTGGCATATTACATCATTTATGCAGCAGCATACAATACATTTTTGGACACACCTTGTTGTGCTGTGCTCACATGAACAGGAAGGTGGCGCGGCAATCCTTCTTGTGGGCTCTAGAAAGAGGCCCGAAATCCCGACTTGGACTTCAGAGTTGGATGACCAGTTCCGAGTTTCCAGTTGTTTTGAACGCGCCAGAAGTCATGCTGGATTGATAGCATTGTCAATGTATTCAAACTTTTCTGGACTATGGCGTTACCCCCTTTTTCGTGATATCCAATTGGTAATTACGATCGTGTCTCATCCCTGCAATTCCCCTATGGACTCGGCGAAGGTCGAGTGAAGCCGCACTGCTTCTTGACACACTGCTCGCTTAACCCAGAAGCCAGCCACACCAATGTGTCGGAGGAAACACTGTCAAACTGACGACCGAAGTTGACCGACCGGCCCGCCACAAGGAGTCGCTAGAGCACTATGAGACAAGGACATCCCGGCCGGCCAAACCCTCCCCTAACCCGGACGACGCTGGGCTAATTGTGCGCCGTCGTATGGGTCTTCAGGTCACGGCCGGCTGTGACACAGCCTGGGATCGAACCCGGGGCTGCAGTGGCGATTTAGCACTCATTGTTAAATTTGCGATTTCCAAATTGTTGTGTAACGTTTATGTCCAATGGCCGATGAGCACCGATACGTTTTATCTATAATTTCTCTTCAAATGACAAGGATTGAAAAGGATTTGCCAGTAGATTGCCGACTTGATGCATGATGATGACTGCTTGTCTTGCTTGCTAGCTAAGATTTTGAAAGTATGATGTTGACATGATCAGTCCAATCAAAGCTAAGGTAGATATGCAGTGCCTTGCAAAAGTGTTCATCCCCCTTGGCGTTTTTTCTATTTTGTTGCATTACAACCTGACATTGAAATTGATTTTTATTTGGATTTCATGAAATGGACATACACAAAATAGTCCAAATCGGTGAAGTGAAATGAAAAAAATAACTTGTTTAAAAAAATTGTTTCATCTCAGTGCTTGAGGCGTCACTACAGACCCCCTGGTTCGATTCCAGGCTGTATCACAAACGGCCGTGATTGGGAGTCCCATAGGGCGGCGCACAATTGGCCCAGCGTCGCCTGGGTTTGGCTGGTGTAGGCCGTCATTGTAAATAAGAATTTGTTCTTATCTGACTTGCCTAGTTAAATAAATAAAAAATAAAAATGAATTGGTGTTTGCCAAAATGCATGTGGGAGACTCCCCAAACATATGGAAGAAGGTACTCTGGTCAGATGAGACTAAAATTGAGCTTTTTGGCCATCAAGGAAAACGCTATATCTGTCGCAAACCCAACACCTCTCATCACCCCGAGAACACCATCCCCACAGTGAAGCATGGTAGTGGCAGGGACTGGGAAACTGGTCAGAATTGAAGGAATGATGGATGGTGCTAAATACAGGGAAATTCTTGAGAGACACCTGTTTCAGTCTTCCAGAGATTTGAGACTGGGACGGAGGTTCACCTTCCAGCAGGACAATGACCCTAAGCATACTGCTAAAGCAACACTTGAGTGGTTTAAGGGGAAACATTGAAATGTCTTGGAATGGCCTAGTCAAAGCCCAGACCTCAATCCAATTGAGAATCTGTGGTATGACTTAAAGATTGCTGTAGACCAGCGGAACCCATCCAACTTGAAGGAGCTGGAGCAGTTTTGCCTTGATAGTTATGCACGCTCAAGTTTTCTGTTTTTGTGTAAATCAAATGATACAAACCCCCAATAAATCAATTTTAATTCCAGGTTGTAAGGAAACAAAATAGGAAAAATGCCAAGGGGGGTGAATACTTTCTCAAGCCACTGTAATGTGATTTGATGTAATTTTATCTGTGGCCAATGACCTTGAGCCTTCTTGGATGGGCACTTCTAATGTAAGTCTATGGCAGCACCCAAGGGGCTTGAATTTTCGAGCTCTACCCGTACATTTTGCGGTGACATAGTGTCCCCATGAGTGACAGAACTCTGAGCCAATCACTGCTCAACTAGAGAACATTACCAACCCCTACGCTCTGTATTTCCCGCTGGCTGCACCACCACCACAGAAAGCACTGAGCTAGGCTGAAACACCTGCATTTTGGAGCTGCCTTACTCAAGAAAGCAAAAAAGAGACCATGTTTGTATGCGGCTCTGCACCACATGCCCTAAATGACGCGTCGCCACTGAAAACACTAGACATCTTGAATGACATGGAGTGTATTACACAGTTGTAAATTGGTTTTGGTTATATCTAATTAGATCCTGGTCAAGTTGAAATTTTGACATATGCAACATCCGGATGGCTCAATATTCAGTATCACTGTGTAATTTGTAGAATAAAACACTATTGTATTGACAACTGTCCATTTTGTCATTTGGGTGGTCTTGCACAGAGATTTCCGGAGAAAGGCCTGGGGAAAGGCTCAAATGTCAGTTACAAATGGGGTTTGAAAAGGGAAAGGTGATATCTATTGTAATTGAAGAGCATAAAACATACTGATAGATGCCCACTCCCTGGTTGCCATCAGCCAAGTCTCTTGTCTGTTTCCTTCCTAATTTCCAACTCCTGTGAATGGCACCCGCATCTCAGTCAGGCACCAACACACTCTACCACCCAGCCAGAGGGGCCGCCGAGCCGGTGTTGCATCAGATAACATTTATATTAATTACATTCATTTTGCAAATAAGTCAAGGCGAAGGGCCGTTCTTTTATGTACGCCATATCATGGCACACATAGCCCTTGGACATCTCACCCTCTTTGCATTTTGCGTGCAGACCAGGCCAGAGCAGGACAGTGTGCAGGGATGTTTGTCCTGTGTGAACTGGTGTGGGTAGTAGGCTGTGGAGTTGAAAATGATCGACACGACCACTTATCACAGGCATTTTGCTGATATTGTTCATTAAGATAAGTAGCCTATACTAGAGAAATGTGAAGTTTGAAATGAGTTTGTAATATTGGTAATTGGGACAATTGATGGCTACAACCATCAAACTAGTAGTAGGATCATTTTGAAAAACTGTGGTGCACATGAATGATATAAATGTATCATTCTATTTATTGTTATTGCATCAATTCAGGCAATTTATCACGATATGGAATTTTGTCCATATCGCTGACCAGCTCTAGAAGGCACCACTTTTGCTGCTGCTACTCAGTTGACTGCTGTGAGAACGTACAGTTAGTTAGTTGTGTGATTTAGCCTGGCGAGTGCTGCTGTTGTTAATCTATCCATCGCCATGCCACAGGGGCCCCTGCCAAACATGTTAATCTCTATGTCTTCCCCACAGTTTGTAGAGAGACTCTGAAATGGCATTTATGACAAAACTTTCCCAGTGGGTTAACCTATGGATGACTAGTCTAGGCTGTCTGTGTTATAGGATAGATCAAAAGAGAGAGTAGTAGATAGTGAGTAGTTGATCAGAGAATTATCATTTGTTTGTCTGTTATCTCCTCTTCCTCTGCCTGGACTATGGAGTAATACAGGGAGCAATGGCACCATTTTTATCTGCTACTATATGCCCTAAAGAGTTGCATTGAAACTGAACATCCCCCTCAATTTGCCTACACTCTTAGAAGAAAAGGTGCTATCTAGAACCAAAAAGGGTTCTTCGGGCAGGCCCCATAGGAGAACCCTTTGAAGAACCCCAGTTGGTTCCAGGTATAACCCTTTTGGTTCCAGGTTCCCTTTCCAGAGGGTTCTACATGGAACCCAAAATAGTTCTACCTGGAACCAAAAAGGGTTATCCTATGGGGACAGCCTCTTTTCTAAGAGTGTACTTTTTTTATACCCAGGTCCAGACCCTGGTGACAGCACGCCATACTACACCACCCAGTCTATGATCAATCAGCCTATTGGCCAGGCCCAGGACTTACAACAGAGCCAGCAGCACCATCAGGCTGCTTCTCAACAAGCTCTTCTCCAAACCTATGATAACTACCACCCCAGCTCCAGCTATGAAGTTCACAGTTCCAGATACTGTCCCATGGGACACCTCCCCAAGGCATTCGACTGCCCAAGCATCCAGATCACGTCTATCGGTCACAGTCACCAAGAGCTGGGCTCCAGCCAGGAGGCCGTGCCCATCAGCGGGGCAGACGGCGGGGGGGAGTGCGGTCGTGAACGGTCCTGGTCCAGGGACCACCTCTACCTACCCCTGGACCCCGGTTACAGGGACTCATCCTCCCTGAACCCCAGCCCTTGCAGCAGCCTGTCCTCCAGGAGCTGGCTGTCCGACGTGTCGTCCTGTGAGTCCTTCTCCCATGTTTACGACGACGTGGAGGCTGAGCTGAACGAGGCGACTTCCCGATTCACCATGGGCTCCCCGCTGGCCTCTCCCCTGGCCTCCCCTGGCTGCTCACCACAGGGCCAGGCCGCAGTGGGATTCGGGGTGGAGCTGTGGCAGCAGCAGTACTTCATGAACACCCACTCCCTCTCGCCCCACCAGTCCCCTCGCCAGTCGCCCCGTCAGTCCCCCTGTCACTCTCCACGCAACAGCGTCACAGACGAGAACTGGCTTAACCCGCTCCCCACCTCCAGGTCCGGCTCAAGGCCCACATCACCTTGTGGAAAGAGACGGCACTCCAGCGCAGACGTCTATGGACACGGACCTTCCCCCTCCCCATCCCCTCATCAGTCCCCCTGCCCCACCCCGGGCCACTCTCCCAGGGGCAGCGTAACAGAGGACACCTGGATGGTTGGAAGCCCTGGTGCCATGGGGGCCCTCCTGTACAGCCTCCCTGAGGTAGACGTTCCTTCCAAAACCAGGAGGACCTCTAAGCAGGCTCACATGGGTCTACTGCATGGACAGGGAGACTCAGGGCTGGTGCTCAAAGACCAAGGAGTCGTGTTGCCTAACCTGGACTCCCCTGCAGAGGAGTCTGGGTCTACTCTAAAACAGGATGGCCTTTTTGAAGAACTATTTTTCTCAGTTCCCTCACACTTCACCTGGAGCAAACCCAAACCTGGCAACACACCCCTTTTCAGGTTTGTTATTCATAAATTCTCACGTGTGCTTCATCATGCTAACCACCAGTTGAAAACTCAGCATGGTGCAGACATTGTACTACCATAGCAACCTTAGCAAGGCCAAGGGTCAGGAGAGCATAACTAGAGGTGAAGAACAAAACACCGACCTCCATGTTTTTTTTTAACACCAAATCTTAATGACTATGTTTATGAGAAAGAATGTCTGGGTTGTATTCGTTAGCACACACTGTAGCAAACATTTTTGTAATGGAAAATTAGCATTTTTTAATTGGCAAGTTCAGGTAGTCCTTCCCTGTTTCAGTCTGTTTTCTTCCATTTGCTGCCTAATTAATACGACCCTGTGTTGCCTCCCCACCCAGGACCTCATCCCTGCCCCCACTGGACTGGCCCCTGCCCAGCCAGTTTGGCCAGTGCGAGCTGAAGGTGGATGTGCAGCCACGGGGCCACCACAGGGCCCACTACGAGACAGAGGGCAGTCGGGGGGCCATCAAGGCTGCCTCAGGGGGACACCCTGTAGTCAAGGTAAAGAGAAAGTATTTCACAACCTCATGACACCAGACCTGGGTCCAAATAGTATTTGCACTTGGCAAGCTCAATCTAGCACAGCTAAAGTATTTAAACACATACTATTTGAATCCAGGTCTGCATGACAAATATATGTATAGAGGGTCACTGTCGGCTCTGACCTAGAAGATCAATATGATTGTGCCAAACTTTATGCTTGGTTCACACATAAAAAGTTGTGTTTTGATAAACTGCTGTTTGCAGTTGTAACCTTGAGGTGTCAATCAACGTGTGACATCCTGAGATATCAAAGGAAGTGTTCTTGTTACACTGAACTGACTTAGTCTAATAAGTTGAGTAGGTGTTTTGTGCAATTACTCCCTTCCTGTTATTACTTGAATCAGGAATGTGTTTAACAATGTTATCAGGGGTTTGTGACACTTGTTCATATATTAGGCTCAGTAAATATGGGGGGTGATGTAGCTTATTCAAACCCAACCAACCACGAGCACTGGCGGCCCTAATCTCATGCTGTATTTTCTCTCTCTCTCTCTCGCTCTCTATCGCTCTGTCTCTCACTCTATCTCTCTGTAAACGACAGATACATGGTAACCCTCAGACAGACAGCCTGTTATTGTAGACAAACAGCTCTTCATTTAACACAGGAGCGTGCAAGCGTGTGTGTGTGTACATGTGAGCATTGCCATGGAAGCCATAACTCCAGTAAACAACTAGGCTGTGCTGTGACTCACTACATTTTATGTTATTTTATTTTTTTATTTAACCTTTATTTAACCAGGTAAGCCAGTTGAGAACAAGTTCTCATTTACAACTGCGATCTGGCCAAGATAAAGCAAAGCAGTGCGATAAAAACAACAACAACACAGAGTTACATATGGAATAAACAAAACGTACAGTCAATGATACAATAGAAAATCTATATACAGTGTGTGCAAATGTAGTAAGTTATGGAGGTAAGGCAATAAAAAGATCATAGTGCAAAATAATTACAATTTAGTATAAACACTGGAGTGATAGATGTGCAGAAGATGATGTGCAAATAGAGATACTGGGGTGCAAATTAGCAAATTAAATAACAATGTAAATAACAATATAGGGATGAGGTAGTTGGGTGGGCTAATTACAGATGGGCTGTGTACAGGTGCAGTGATCGGTAAGCTGCTCTGACAACTGATGCTTAAAGTTAGTGAGGGAGATAAGTGTCTCCAGCTTCAGAGATTTTTGCAGTTCATTCCAGTCATTTGCAGCAGAGAACTGGAAGGAATGGCTGAGTAGAGTGTTGGAAGCTATTTTGTAAATGACATCGCCGAAGTCAAGGATCGGTAGGATAGTCAGATTTACGAGGGCATGTTTAGCAGCATGAGTGAAGGAGGCTTTGTTGCGAAATAGGAAGCCGATTCTAGATTTAACTTTGGATTGGAGATGCTTAATGTGAGTAGAGTTTACGGTCTAATCAGACACCTAGGTATTTGTAGTTTCCACATATTCTAAGTCAGACCCGCCGAGAGTAGTGACTCTAGTCGGGCGGGCGGGTGCAAGCAGCGTTCGATTGAAGAGCTTGCATTTAGTTTTACTAGCGTTTAAGAGCAGTTGGAGGCCACGGAAGGAGTGTTGTATGGGATTGAAGCTCGTTTGGAGGTTTGTTAACACAGAGTCCAATGAAGGGCCAGATGTATACAAAATGGTGTCGTCTGCGTAGAGGTGGATCTGAGAGTCACCAGCAGCAAGAGCGACATAATTGAAATACACAGAGAATAGAGTCGGCCCGAGAATTGAACCCTGTGGCACCCCCATAGAGACTGCCAGAGGTCCAGACAACAGGCCCTCCGATTTGACACATTGAACTCTATCTGAGAAGTAGTTGGTGAACCAGGCGAGGCAGTCATTTGAGAAACAAAGGCTATTTAGTCTGCCAATAAGAATGCGGTGATTGACAGAGTCAAAAGCCTTGGCCAGGTCAATGAAGACGGCTGCACAGTACTGTCTTTTATCGATCACAGTTATTATATCGTTTAGGACCTTAAGCGTGGCTGAGGTGCACACATGACCAGCTCGGAAAGCAGATTGCATAGCGGAGAAGGTACGGTGGGATTTGAAATGGTCGGTGATCTGTTAACTTGGCTTTCAAATACTTTCGAAAGGCAGGGCAGGATGGATATAGGTCTGTAACAGTTTGGATCTAGAGTGTCACCCCCTTTGAAGAGGGGGATGACCGCGGCAGCTTTCCAATCTCTGGGGATCTCAGACGATACAAAAGAGAGGTTGAACAGGCTAGTAATAGGGGTTGCGACAATTTCGGTGGCTAATTTTAGAAAGAAAGGGTCCAGATTGTCTAGCCCAGCTGATTTGTAGGGGTCCAGATTTAGCAGCTCTTTCAGGACATCAGCTATCTGAATTTGGGTGAAGGAGAAGCGGGGGGGGGGGGGCCATGGGCAAGTTGCAGCGGAGGGTGCAGAGCTGGTGGCCGGGGTAGGGGTAGCCAGGTGGAAAGCATGGCCAGCCGTAGCAAAATGCTTATTGAAATTCTCGATTATCGTAGATTTATCGGTGGTGACAGTGTTTCCTAGCCTTAGTGCAGTGGGTAGCTGGGAGGAGGTGCTCTTATTCCCCAATGGACTTTACAGTGTCCCAAAACTTTTTGGAGTTAGTGCTACAGGATGCAAATTTCTGTTTGAAAAAGATAGCCTTTGCTTTCCTAACTGATTGTGTATATTGGTTCCTGACATATCGCGGGGGCTGTTCGATGCTAATGCAGTATGCCACAGGATGTTTTTGTGCTGGTCAAGGGCAGTCAAGTCTGGGTTGAACCAGGGGCTATATCTGTTCTTAGTTCTGAATTTTTTGAATGGGGCATGCTTATTTAAGATGGAGAGGAAAGCACTTTTGAAGAACATCCAGGCATCCTCTACTGACGGAATGAGGTCAGTATCCATCCAGGATACCCGGGCCAGGTCAATTAGAAAGGTCTGCTTGCTGAAGTGTTTTAGGGAGCGTTTGACAGTGATGGGGTCCCGTGTAGCTCAGTTGGTAGAGCATGGTGCTTGCAACGCCAGGGTTGTGGGTTCGATTCCCACGGGGGGCCAGTATGAAAAAATGTATGCACTCACTAACTGTAAGTCGCTCTGGATAAGAGCGTCTGCTAAATGACTAAAATGTAAATGAAAATGAGGGGTGGTCATTTGACCGCGGACCCATTACGGATGCAGGCAATGAGGCAGTGATCGCTGAGATCCTGGTTGAAGACAGCAGAGGTGTATTTAGAGGGTAAATTAGTCAGGATGATATCTATGAGGGTGCCCATGTTTACGGAATTAGGGTTGTACCTGGTAGGTTCCTTGATGATTTGTGTAAGATTGAGCGCATCTAGTTTAGATTGTAGGACGGCCGGGGTGATAAGCATATCCCATTTTTGGTCACCAAGTAGTACGAAATCTGAGGATAGATGGGGGGCAAGCAATTCACATATGGTGTCCAGGGCACAACTGGGGGCTGAGGGGGCTCTGTAGCAAGCGGCAACAGTGAGAGACTTATTTCTGGAAAGGTGGATTTTTAGAAGTAGAAGCTCAAACTGTTTGGGCACAGACCTGGATAGTATGATAGAGCTCTGCAGGCTATCTCTACAGTAGATTGCAACTCCGCCCCCTTTGGCAGTTCTATCTAGACGGAAAATGATGTAGCTTGGAATGGACATTTCTGAATTTTTGGTGGCCTTCCTAAGCTCAGATTCAGACACTGCTATAACATCAGGGTTGGCAGATTGTGCTAACGCAGTGAATAACTCAAACTTGGGGAGGAGACTTCTGATGTTAACATGCAAGAAACCAAGGCTTTTACGGTTACAGAAGTCAACAAATGATAGCGCCTGGGGGGTAGGAGTGATACTGGGGGCTACAGGGCCTGGGTTAGCCTGGTTCCTCTCTAGGTTTCTTCCTAGGTTTTCGCCTTTCTAGGGAGTTTTTCCTAGCCACCGTGCTTCTACACCTGCATTACTAGCTGTTTGGGGTTTTAGGCTGGGTTTCTGTACAGCACTTCGAGATATTAGCTGATGTAAGAAGGGCTATATAAAATAAAATTGATTGATTGATTGATTGATTAACCTCTACATCATCAGAGGAACAGAGGAGGAATAGAATAAGGATACGGCTAAAGGCTTTAAGAGCTGGTCTTCTAGTGCGTTGGGTACAGAGAAGAGGGGCAGATTTCCAGGCGTTGTAGAATAGATTCAGGGCATTATATACAGACAAGGATATGGAAGGATATGAGTACAGTGGAGGTACACCTAAGCATTGGGTAACTATGAAAGAGATAGCATCACTGAAGGTGATCTAAGGTGTATGCATTTAAACCCATGGATGGATCACAGCTCATACTCTAGTTACTCCAAAGTGCTGCACATACACCAACAACCACACCCTTTGATCTCTTAACATTTTAAGTATTCTGTGCTTGGGGTATCACACTGGGCATCACACTGGGTATATCACCAGAGCCATGGCTCTGCGTATCACCTAACGTTTAGCAGAGCACTACTTGCTAGTGGGGCTGGAATACAATCCCTGGATCAGGGCTCAGAGTATCACCTAACATTGAGCAGAGCTCTATTTGCCAGTGGGTACCGTCTAGCAGAGCACTATTTGCCAGTAGGACTGCAGTGGAACTGGACTACCATTTCTGGATCAAGGTACAGCCAGGCTGGATCAGATGCAGGCTGAGATAAGCTAAGCTTTATTAAGGCTGGCTCTCGTGTAATATATACCAGCTAGTCTATTTTGGGGTGGCTTCATTACTTCATCACAGCTTCACTCTCTAGTCCTCTGTAATGCCACTAGCAGTGTTTCCCTGTACATTACATCAAATAGACGTGTTGGACATTTCTCAACCTCATGCTGGCTCTTCAGTGGCACAACTTATTTTTGGTGACCTCAAATGGTTTCAATTGGGTAATTTCAGTGCGGGCAATCCAGGATGTAAACTGCATAGTGCAGTTCACATTTTAGACATTGTCTGAGTGTATTGCTATCTGTACAGAGCTTTGGAATTGGTTTGGCATACTGTTTCTAAACAGATCCAAACACAGTTATTCAAATGTACAGTACACAGAACATGTCTTTAATGTAAAACCACATCACGTTGTCTTAGAAAATCGCTCTCGGAAAAAGAGTGCTCATAAGAATAAGTGAAACATTGTGTATTCATATATTTGTAAATCAAATGCGGTAGTATGCTTATATGATTTCTATGGATTGGTTTCATTTACAGCTCATTGGATACAACGAGAAGCCAGTCAACCTGCAGATTTTCATTGGAACGGCAGACGATCGGTACTTGAGACCACATGTCTTCTACCAGGTGCACAGAGTAACGGGAAAGACGGTGGCTACTGCTTGCCAGGAAAGTGTAATAAGCAGTACAAAGGTTCTGGAAATCCCTCTCCTCCCAGAAAACAATATGTCCACCAGGTACTGGTCATAAGCATACAATATTTATGTTTTCAAAGCATCACAAGGCTAAAAATATAACATTTGTGCTTGTGATTTATTGGTATTATGATTTAAAATGTAAAATGGCTTCCACTGTGAATTCTAATCATTTTTGAAGATTTAGAACAGATGATAGCGTGTTAAAAATTGGAATGGATTTTCATCTAAGAATAAGCATATTTCTACACCTAGAAAAAATAGAAACAGACAGACCATAACTATTTTGTCATGGAAATGTGGCTGCCTTCCATAATAGAAGAATCCAGACATTATTTTGTCTCTAGACACTGGATTAAGTCTCACACTATCTGATACCTATTTGTCACTATTCAACAAACTACATAACGTCATAAAATTACATGTGAAGAATATGAACTATTTATAGCATTATGGTCATTCTTTATTAGCCTCGAGGTTAGGACGTTGGGCAGTAATCGAAAGTTTGCTGGTTTGAATACCGGAGCCGAGAAGGTGAAATAATCTGTTGCTGTGCCCTTGAGCAAGGCAATTAACCCGAATTGCTCCAGGGGGGCTGTACAATGGCACCCTGGCCTTGACCCCACTCCCTGCGGGTGCCTCAGTGGGAGTTGGGATATGCAAAAAAATACATTTCCATTACAGGACAAATGTAAGCACCCCAAAAGTATTATTATTATTAGCTTACTGTAAATAATAAAATGGACATGTTTATATTCAAATGGCCTTTATATAATGTTGTCTCATGCTTGTATTTCTCCCTCGACAGTATTGACTGTGCAGGCATCCTGAAGCTGAGGAACTCTGACATTGAGCTCAGGAAGGGGGAGACAGACATCGGGAGGAAGAACACACGTGTGCGAGTGGCATTCCGTGTGTACATCCCTCAGCCCAGCGGCAAGGTCCTGTGTCTGCAAGCTGCCTCTATTCCTGTGGAGTGCTGTGAGTACCTTTATTCAGTAGGCCGGCCTACATACTGTATATACTATACTATACATGATTCATAGAGTCCTGAGTTTTTCCCGATTATGGGACTTGAGCAGGAATAATCTTTATTTATATAACCTATATTAAGTTCTTGGTATAATAATTAGTTAAAGGCTATAACTTGGGGCCAGAGTTTTTCCTGGTCATGAAATTACTTTATACAGTACCTAATGTTGTTTCACTGTTCAGTATATGTAATAGTTAAATGTAATTGGCTTGCAGCCCAGCGCTCGGCCACAGATCTTCCCCAGATGCAGAGCTGCAGTCCCGTCAGCTGCTTGGTCAGTGGGGGGGAGGAGATGGTAATCACCGGCTCCAACATATCCCCAGAGTCAAAGGTCATCTTCCTGGAGAAAGGCCCTGGTAAGAGACGTTGACACAGCCTTGACTTTATAGAGTTCATAGAAAGGCAAGACGAGAAACCTGGTTTGTCCTTTTCCTGAACCGTACTCGCTTGGATATGTTCTTTCCAGCACCGTTACAGAAACTATAGTAAAGTAGCCTTGCCTTGTGTGAGCCGGAATGGCTCATAGGAGCAAGAGGCTATCTCCTGTTTCTGTAGCGTGAGGCAGCTTGATTACAAGTACACCCCCTGGACAGGATGCTAGTCTATCGCAGGGTCTTACCCCCAATCTATCTCCTTAATGCTGAGTGCCAAGCTGTCTTTGGTATGACTCGGCCGGGGATCGAACTCCCAACCATCCAATCTCAGGGCGGCTAGTGTAACCATGAGGCCACCGAGTTGGTCCATCAACTATGGTGATGCATAACCAGGCCAGCACAGTGCAGCTTTACTTGACTTGGCTCAGTAGTGTGAAAAGGTATAAAAACGAAAAGGAATATATATTTTCATTAACACAACTTCAACAGAGGTTTAATGTGTTAATTGTGATGTTTTATCTCTCCAGATGGACGCACACAGTGGGAAGTTGACGGAAAAGTTATTCAAGAAAAGAGTAAAAGAGTAAGTAGAAACGTAAATTACATTATTAAAGTTAGCCTACATTAAATCGACCTCCCAAACCCTGGATCCCTTGAATAGATGATAAATAATTTTGAAACATTCTCTTTGCAGTCCAGAATCGTGGTTGAGATTCCTACCTACCACAACACCACTGTGAGCTCTGCAGTCCAGGTGCAGTTCTACGTGTGCAACGGGAAGAGGAGAAGAAGCCAAACGCAAAACTTCACATACTTGGCTGGTGCTTCTCCACACAATTATCCCACTGCCAGTGACCATGCAGTTGTGGCTCCTCGGGTGAAGCAGGAGCTCACCGACTCAACCTATCTGTCTACTTGCACCAATCTCCCTGGCCTATATCCAACCAGCAGCCAGCTGAATTCTTCTGACGGGGCCTTCTCTCAGGACAGGCCCTTGTATGGTTCCTCTGATAGTCACCCTGTGCCTTGTGGTCCGCCCTCCCAGCCAGCATACACTCCCTCAGGCTCCTCGCCTCTTCAGCACTCCCCTCACCTCCACAGCTACAGTCCCAGTATGGGATACCAGCGGATAAGCCCTATGCATACACCTGATCCAATGCCACCCCCTCAGACAAAGCCTGTCTACCAGGCCACACAACATAATGTGCCTTACAGCGTCCAGGCCAGCTCTCCTATGAGACCTGGCCCTGCCGCACCCCAGGTCAATCGACCTCAGTCTGCCCAGCCCAGGCCAGCTGCCTCCAGCCCTCATAGGGAAGGTGTGATGTACCAGAGCCTCATTGGACCTGATCTCTCTGTCGCCACTCTCCAGTCTGCCAGAACCCATACCCAGAATGCAACCCAGCTGCAGTCTCTAATATCCCACTGCTCCCACTCGGACTCTGACCTAGCTGCTCTACAGGCTGAGTATAATCTGAGCTACCACTCTGCCAGAAACTTGCCTGCCTCGTATTCCCCCACCCCTGGAGTAGCAGCAACCTGCTCCAACTCCCCGTCAGCATCAGCCTCCTCTGGGGATCCCCTGAGGCACCTGTCCCCGAGCAGCGCCCAGGGGCTGGCCTCTGGTATCGACCCCCAGGAGTGTCCCCCGGCACCCCATTCCCTCTTCTCATCAAACGACAGAGGGAGGGTGAACATCAAGCAGGAACCAAAGGAGAAGCTGCCTCTAGGCTCCATGGGGCTCCAGGAGATCACACTAGATGATGGTAAGAGGTTCATATGATACACTACATGGCCAAATGTATGTGAATACCCCTTCAAATTAGTGGATTTGGCTATTTTAGCCACACCCGTTGCTGACAGGTGTGTAAAATCGAGCACACAGCCATGCAATTTCCATAGACAAACATTGGCAGTAGATTGGCCCGTACTGAAGAGCTCAGTGACTTTCAATGTGGCACCGTCATAGGTTGCCACCTTTCCGACAAGTCAGTTCGTCACATTTCTGCCCTGCTAGAGCTGCCCCAGTCAACTGTAAGTCATGTTATTGTGAAGTGGAAACGTCTAGGAGCCACACGGATCAGCCGTGAACTGGTAGGCCACATAAGCTCACAGAACAGGACCGCCAAGTGCTGAAGCGCGTAGAGCGTAAAAATCGTCTGTCCTCTGTTGCAACACTCACGACCGAGTTCCAAACTGCCTCTGGAAGCAAGGTCAGCACAAGAACTGTTCGTCGGGAGCTTCATGAAATGGGTTTCCATTGCCGAGCAGCCGCACACAAGCCTAAGATCACCATGCGCAATGCCAAGCATCGGCTGGAGTGGTGTAAAGCTCGCCCCATTGGACTGTGGAGCAGTGGAAACACGTTCTCTGGGGTGATGAATCACGCTTCACCATTGGCAGTCCGACGGACGAATCTGGGTTTGGCGGATGCCAGGAGAACACTACCTGCCCGAATGCATAGTGCCAACTGTAAAGTTTGGTGGAGGAGGAATAATGTTCTGGGGCTGTTCAGAGCCCTGACCTCAACCCCATCTAACACCTTTGGGATGAATTGGAACGCCAACTGCGAGCCAGGCCTAATTGCCCAACATCAGTGCCTGACCTCACTAATGCTCTTGTGGCTGAATGGAAGAAAGTCCCCTCAGCAATGTTCCAACATCTAGTGGAAAGCCTTCCCAGAAGAGTGGAGGCTGTTATAGCAGCAAAGGGGGGGACCAACTCCATATTAATGCCCATGATTTTGGAATGAGATGTTCGACAAGCAGGCTTTTGGTCATGTAGTGTATCAATGTTCTTTGGGGTATTTAGAGCTCTGTCACAAACTGGGCCATTAGTAATGAATGAAGGGAGAGAATGGATTTCTGATGTCTTATTTATTTTATTCTCAGGAGAGTTACTTTAAACAATGGGTTAGAAATAACTTTACAGTGCAGAAAGCAATGAATGCATTGCACTGTGGGCTAGGCGATAGGGAGCTGGGTAAATCCATTTGAATTCAATCACTTTTTGACAGCATCCCTTTTGATTTAAACTAAACTTTCCATACATGTTTGCCCATGGAAGAAGTGGTCAGAAAGTGATTTTCTGGACCTGAATACCAAAACATTTAGGAGATAAAAGTATTTATTCATAGTTGACCCATTTTTCATAACATACTATGAGACATCCATGTCTTCATCACTGGGAAAATATAAAGTTGAGTTTGATATAATTTAAAATCTTACAAACAGGGTTGTCAAACTATTTTACAATTTCTTGAATTAAAAAAAATAAATACAATTTATTCAAGTTTCCCATTTTACAGTCATAAATAATTCACATCAATACATTTGAGTTCATAACTGCATAACAATAATTACAGAGTTAATAGTGTCCATGGAAGTTTTTTTTGTCCATCTTATTTCTTCTTTTAGTTCCGATTTGATTTGTAAAAAATATATATAGTGTTGAAAAAAAAGAGTTGTCTTATAGGCATCTTGTCTTCCAAATGTTACTGTTCACAATGCATATTATTGTCCACAATATTTGTTTAGTAATGTCAATGCATATTATTGTCTACCATACTTTAGTAATGTCATCCATGTGAATATCGAAGACCCCGTGAAACACAGACTTGGGATTTATACATAGGCCTACATCAAACCCGATCATTCTCATCAAATCCCATATTTCTTTATTTCTGTAATATTTCACTAAAAGGTGTTCTAAATTCTCTTCATCATGACAATTAGGCATAGGACACTATTTACTTTTGACAAAACAACTCCAATTTACTACAGCACGCACTGGTAAACATCGTACGGAAATCAACCAGAAATATATATCACTTTATAAATAGTTTTGTTCAAGAGACTGTTCCAGTTAATATTTAATTGTCTGAGATACCCGATCATTAGGTTCCATCACCGTATTAAAATCCCCACATATACAGTAATTACTGAATATCTCACACATAAATAGCCCCTAGTTTCATAAATAATAGCTTTTTCTTAGATGCTGTGTATACATTTATCACTCTTATTTTCCTTCCTCTAAAGAAGCAGAGTCCAATATTAATTAATCGATGTCTGCAGTGGCTGGTATTCTAAGCTCTTTTCGATGATTTGCTTAACTTCTACTGGGGACTTGGTTTCTCTTCTTTCTCTTTAACTTGGCTTTGGATTGAACTTCGTTTTGAAATGTGAACAGCGTTTCACTCCACCTGCTTGAGTGGTGGGGGTAAATAACTCTGGCGGGGAATGGAGCAGGGGAGGAAGGAATTCGTCGTCATCTCTCTCTCTTTCGGGTCTGACTCGTTTGCGTCTGACTCGTTTGCGTCCTCAAAGGACTCTTCTTCCTCGCTCTCACTGCGGCTGGACCTGGAGGATTGGATACTCTCGTTGACACCTTCCTCTGAGATCTGGTCGCCTTCACTTTTGGATTCAGCTCCCTCAGCTTCTCTCGCATTCACTGGCACCTGCCTCTCAGCTGTGCTCGGACCTGTAGTGGTGACCTCGCGCTCTGCCGTGGCGTGGTGGATGGAACTCACTGTTCAAAGCCCTCGCTTTGTATGCATAAGACTGGGGACACTTGTAGAAGTCGTGGCCCTCTTTTGCACACAAGGTGCACTTGCTTGGAGACTCACAGTCCCTGGATTTGTAGCCAAGGTCTCCGCATCTCCAACACTTCACCTCTGGGCAATCCTTGACCTGGTGGTCCAGCCCCTGGCAGATGTAACACCGAGGGGTCTGTCCGGGGTAGGAGATCTTCCCGTTGTACGGACCCAGGGATATTGAGTTAGGGGTTGTTATCGACTGCTCACTTTGCAGACTTTGTACTTGCGTACTCCATACCATATCCCGAACGTATCCACCGGTTTCACTGCAGGTTGTAAAATAGTGCAATACCCATTTAGAAACATTTCAACGTCATGATCTGGAACTCTTCCCGTCCAGAACTTTACAAAGACCATCTTGAGGTCCAGCTCAATGGAGGACTCCACTGTCCAGTCCTTCTAATCTGCGGCTGTCTCTTGGGCTGAATGGCACCGAAGAAGATGGCTGCCGTTTTACAGCCCTCTAACCAATTGTACTATTATGTGTGTTTTTTCGCTTTATTTGTAATTTATTCTGTACATAATGTTTCTGCCACCTTCACTGACATTTTCAACATGTCCCTGACAGAGTCTGTAATACCAACATGTTTCAAGCAGACCACCAGAGTTCCTGTGCCCAAGAACAATAAGATAACCTGTCTAAATGACTACCAACCCGTAGCACTCACGTCTGTAGCCATGAAGTGCTTTGAAAGGCTGGTCATGGCTCACATCAACACCATTATCCCAGAAACCCTAGACCCACCATAATTTGCATACCGCCCCAACAGATCCACAGATAATTCAATCTCTATTGCACTCCACACTGCCCTTTCCCACCTGGACAAGAGGAACACCTACGTGAGAATGCTATTCATTGACTACAGCTCAGCGTTCAACACCATAGTGCCCTCAAAGCTCATCACTAAGCTAAGGACCCTGGGACTAAACACCTCCCTCTGCAACTGGATCCTGGACTTCCTGACGGGCCACCCCCAGGTGGTAAGGGTAGGTAACAACACATCTGCCACGCTGATCCTCAACACGGGGGCCCCTCAGGGGTGCGTGCTCAGTCCCCTCCTGTACTCCCTGTTCACCCATGACTGCATGGCCAGGCACGACTCCAACACCATCATTAAGTTTGCCAACGACACAACAGTGGTAGGCCTGATCACCAACAACAATGAGACAGCCTATAGTGAGGAGGTCAGAGACCTGGCCGTGTGGTGCCAGGATAACAACTTCTCCCTCAACCTGATCAAGACAAAGGAGATGATTGTGGACTACAGGAAGAAAAAAAAGAGGACTGAGCACGCCCCCATTCTTATCGACGGGGCTGTAGTGGAACAGGTTGAGAGCTTCAAGTTCCTTGGTGTCCACAACACCAACTATCATGGTTCAAACACACCAAGACAGTCGTGAAGAGGGCACGACAAAGCCTATTCCCCCTCAGGAGACTGAAACTATTTGGCATGGGTCCTCAGATCCTCAAAAAGTTATACAGCTGCACCATCGAGAGCATCCTGACTGGTTGCATCACCGCCTGGTATGGCAACTGCTCGGCCTCCGACTGCAAGGCACTACAGAGGGTAGCGCGTACGGCCCAGTATATCACTGGGGCCAAGCTTCCTGCCATCCAGGACCTCTATACCAGGCGGTGTCAGAGGAAGGTCCTAAAAAGTATCAAAGACTCCAGCCAACCTCATAGTGTCATAGACTGTTCTCTCTGCTACCGCACGGCAAGCGGTACCGGAGCGCCAAGTCTAGGTCTAAAAGGCTTCTTAACAGCTTCTACTCCCAAGCCATAAGACTCCTGAACAGCTAATCATGGCTACCCGACTATTTGCATTATTATTTATGCATAGTCACTTTAACTCTAGCCACATGTACGTATTACCTCAATTACCTCAACTAACCGGTGCCCCCGCACATTGACTCTGTACTGGTACCGCCTGTATATAACCTCTCTACTGTTATTTTACTGCTGCTCTTTAATTATTTGCTATTTCAATTTTTTTCTTAAACTGCATTGTTGGTTAAGGGCTTGTAAGTAAGCATTTCACTGTAACGTCTACACCAGTTGTATTCGGCGCATGTGGCAAATAAAATGTTATTTGATTTGAATGGACTTCCAAGAAGCGGCGTAATGGGTGTTCTTCCTTGAAGACAACCTCTAAATCTCTCCTGTTCGGCAGTGCAATGAATCAGTAAACATCAACTGCACTAATCTAATTGGATTGGAATAAGAGTGTCTCTCCAACATAGTCATGACTTGGTAGATCTAGATTGATGGTGTATTTTAATTTTGCCCAGTATTGACCAAAACGAGCAACATATGTCAACCACGGACGAGCCATTCAGCTCTGACAGCTCGGGACTACAAAATTATTATTATGGGAGATAATTGATCTATACTTTGGTTTGTCATGGACAACCGCGAGGTCGGCCAGACATCGTGTGTTCACCAAAATTGAATCCAAACATTACACTGTTGATTTTATGTGCATCTGACATTTACTGTACTTTTCACCGCATTTGTTGATAGCGAAATCTGAAAATACTCTGGATATATTCAGTAACATGATAAGAATATTATTGGAAAATGTGGGGTAGGAGCAACATAAGACAGAAAAATTACAAGGGTTTGAGTAAGAGGACAAACTGGAGTCGCCAGGTGGCCACACACCTCTCCAAAGTGTGCACAGTTCCTAAGTAATTTCAATGCAGTTTTATTTTACATTAACATTTTAGTGATTTAGCAGACACTCTTATCCAGAGCGACTTACAGTTAGTGAGTGCATACATTTTCATACTTTTATGACTCAAAGAATAGTCTTCAACTATGAGGTGCTTTTTTTTAGTTCTCCTAGCTGTGCCGTTGAGGAACTAGAGCAAGTACACTTGTAGTTGTTTTGTTTGGAACACAACCCTGCAATCACACAATTACTGTTGTTGTTTACAAATTCCAAAAACGGCCCATTTATAAATCACAATTTGGGTCAGGTGAGCTTCACTTCAACGCTTGTTCTATTGCCAAAATGACTTGCTAAGTTATAAAATACGATCTTACAGTGTTAGGCTTTCACTGGGAAATTCAGAGAAACAGATGGTAATTTTGGTGCACATAGAAAGGAGTCATGCGTGCATTCAGGTGCATGTTCCGCTGCACATTTTCTTTACAATAGACAAACATAGGCTCATTCTGTTCAGAACAACCCAGGGTATGACGCCATGTCATCTTGTAACTGTACATCAAACAGAGTGATCATAAACGTTGACACTGTATATGACATGAGTTTTATGATATGGAAACGTGAAGTGCACATTTGGACTCACTGGTGTTTGGCTTGCTTGTATGACATCAAAGCAGTATTTATTATAATCCTCAACGTCTCATCTTTCAAAATATATCGAGTCCTCTTAATTTACAGCATTTCCCTCACTCTGTCAACAAAAAAATTGCTGAAGTTGTCCAATTAGCGGGAGGGATGGAGGTAACTTCTAGTCATGTTCTGTGCTCAAATTCAGAACGGCTGTCAGTCAACACCCATACAGCGCTGTGAAGCACAGAGCCTGAGCTCTGACATAATTTATAGCATGTTACTGTACAGCCACTGTCTAATTTAGATGCTTATCAGTGCCCAAATCTGCAATTTTCAACCCTTATACGGGTACAAGTGTAAAGCGCAACCGTCAATTATCTAAAAATGAGTAAAACACAACTTTTTTCATATTGTAGCTTAGACCCTACTTTACATCATCTAAGGCAGGGGTGTCAAACTCATTTTAGCTCAGGGGCCACATGGAGGAAAATCTATTCCCAAGTGGGCCGGACCGGAAAAATCATGGTATATATAACTTAAAAACAACAACTTCAGACTTCAACTTTGTTTTAATACGATCAACATAAAACATAAAGCTGGAGCCTGAGGACAGTGTGTCCAAAAGCACAACATCACTATTAATCATAAAACACCTCAAGTTATTTGAAAGTTCTGAGGACAAAGAACACACAAACACACAATGCCTCAGTGATTAACATAACTGTTTCACAGATCACAGAACTATATCAGGGTGTCATTTCTCAGGCAGAAATGTAGATAAAAATAATGAAATCCTGTTCCCCAAACAAGTGCAAGAACCACAGAGTCAAGAATAGGTTAAATATACAAATAAAATACAATCAATTAAAAACAATAGCACATCAACATAAAAACATATAAACATAAAGCTGGAGCCTGAGGACAGTGTGTCCAAAAGCACAACATCACTATTAATCATAAAACACCTCAAGTTATTTGAAAGTTCTGAGGACAAAGAACACACAAACACACAATGCCTCAGTGATTCACAGAAGTATATCATAGATCACAGAACTATATCAGGGTGTCTCATGCAGCACTTTAAGTGGGGTTGCATAGTTTATTTGACTGTGCCGTTGAGGAACTAGAGCAAGCACGCTTGTAGATGTGACGCCTGATATTGATGCGCTGGTGAAAGCTAAAAGATGCCAGG